GTAAAAGTTAATGATTTCTTAACCACCAGGGCCCGTTTGCTCGAAGCCGGTTTACTTTAACTGCGGTAAAAATTTAACCGCATTTCCCTATGACGGGGAATTTTAGATCACATGATCGGCAGAGTAAAGATGGCCGAGAAACATGGCGGTACCCTGCGAGCAAGCGTTGCTTGCTTTGGAACTGATATGTCATAATAGCTGCAATATCGGAAGTGTTAGTCAGCTATGAATGATGCAGTAGGATTTAGCTTTGTCTTACCTCACTTAAATCACAAAGCATGAGGAATGACCTCATGGCATTTTTTAGATAGTCTTTCGATTCTGGCCATTTCTAAGCCTAAATGAATGCGGTAATTGTCGGCACGGCAATGTCTTTGGAATACTATAGTGGATTGCCTTGACTCAATCGGCCGGGTATTGATAGCACGAAGAAAACAGACAGCGTCCCACTAGACCTTTTGCTAAAATTCCCAAGCACCAAGGTGCATGCTACGAACGAGTGTAGTTACACGCGCAGCTTGTGCTGATGTCTGCAAGAGTAACAGTTCTAAAGCAAAAGCCCAAAACAAATTTTGCCCTGCACGCGCATTGGTCAAAGCCTTATTATGATTATTTACTCTGAATATTTTATGCGGGGAGGGCCAATGCACGTGGAGCTTAGAATTACACTTTCAGAATTCTCCTCGATGCTTGGGTAATTTAGTAACAGGTCTATTTTCACTGGAGCCGAATCACAAGGTTTCCAATTTATGATGGCGTTATATACAGTTCTTACATGCTGGCCAACCATGCTGCAGGTGTACCTCCCGCCTTTTATGCTCACTTCACCATTTCTAGGACTGAACTTCGTCGTCCTCTCTCGAACTTGAAAAAAATTTCAATGAGGCTTGTCTTCACTTCAGATCGCCAAACATTGAGAAACTTTCTAAACTAGGGTTAATTTAGTTTTGCCTTACCCAATATCTGTACCATGAGCAACAAAAAGTGTTTCTTAAGCTTAAATGTATGCCGCTCTGCGTCTGAAAAACTCGATAGCATGCGCTCTTGGGTCCCCCCTTTTTGGGAACTTTTCCACGAAAGCCACTTATATTTACTACATCTAATAGGTAACACCAGCTACCACCCCATAATAAAACAAGGAGCTATTGCTCATCCAGCCCTCGTCAATCTTGGCTATGCACCTGTAGGTACCTGGTAGGGAAGGGCGGTTAACTTTTTACCGCGGTTGAGGTTAACCGGCTTCGAGCGAACGGGCCTAGATGTCCCTGGGCATGTCAAAGAACAAGCAAACACGGTACTGCAGTTGAGCTGCAAAATAAGAAAAGGAGGACTTCTCCCATTTCCCAATAACCTCAGCCAAGCCGGACAAATTCAATGGCTCTCCATGGAGCCTCTTAAACACTGCTTTTATGCCCATTTTTAAATTTTATATCCACCAAATTTCATACAAAAGGGGTTTTGTCCCTCACCAGTTGGAGAGTGCAAAAAGAGAACGGAGGACCTATACAGCCCTGCTGAAAAATACTTTGCAGGCAAGATTTTAACAACACAACCTACCTAAAAACACAAACTTTTGTGTGCAGGCAGTTTTTATCAAAAACTTTTTTTAGCTAAAATCGCTTTATATGAACACAAACCTTTAAATAATATTTCTTGTTATGCTGTTCATTCCAAGATGAGACTGAAATGAGGGATGCTAATCACATTAAAGCTACGAATAATCCCCACCAGCAAAACAAAAAGGCAGTTTGGAGATGATGCAGGGCGTACCGGGGTGCAGAAGGCGCTTTTCCATGGAGCTCTTGAGCGAGTGGATGACCTTGGACTTGAGGTTAGTCTTCTCCAGGCACTCCCTGAGGTCTTCCACAGCAGCTAGCGACTCCGGAAACTCAATGATGATGTTGAAGAGCTGGTCCATCCTCACCGTCACGTATGTGTCATACAAGAAATACAGCAGGTGCTCCTGAAACATTCAATGGCACGATTATTCTGTTGGATCTAGCCACCAGAGGGTTAGCGTTCTGGCAAACTATTGGCATAACAAAGGGATGGGTGGGGCTTTGTCCCCCAACAGGAACGATAAAATCTAGTTGAAACGTTGCAACACATAAAAATGATGCAACGACGAAGTCATATTGCAATAAAGTACTTACGTTCTCTGTACACATGGATACAACACATTTATATTGCATTGTCTGACTGATACAGTCGAATATCATTAATTCAAACCTTCTTAATTCAAACTAATAGATAATTTAAACTAACATGCAGGTCCCATCCTATGCACCTCTATGGGAGGAAACTCCCGGTAATTCAAACTTTGTTTCATTCAAACAAATTTTTGGTCCCCCTCGAGTTCGAATTAACGAGATTTGACTGTACACGCAATGTTTTGTTTCCATGAGGACGTGGAAGGCGTTACCTTGAGAGAAGCCAGGGCAAGCTTGGTTTCATCGTCGGCCTGATTCTTGTACACCAGGTAGAACCATTCCATCACAGTTGTGTTCAGCCACTAAAGTCAGAGAGAGTCTCAACTTTAGAGTGTCTTACGCTGCTCCTACACAATGGTTAGTGTATCGTGCCGGCTTAACTCCCAGAACTCCGAAACAAGCCGTTCAAGAAACATTGGCGACACACTGCACGTTGATCATACACTGCAACTGATACTGAATCTGGTAGTTATATTTCAGCAGTAGAACATTAAAGAGTTTTAGTGATGGGTGCTGTAATGCTTAAAGAACAAAACATTTAAAACTTATTTTGGCTATCTGCCATTTATCTGATCTGGACTTATCTCGTCATTGAAACATCTCGAAAGATAGTACCCTCCCCTTGTAGGGCCAAATGGGATTGACTTCTGGTGCATGGCTTAAAACAAATCAGAAAAAATGCTTGACCTGGTTCTTCATTTAGTCATGCATATTTCATCAAGTGCCATGACTACCATATTATTTTAAATACTAATCAAAAATGACTTTTTTTTATTCCACTGTATTCTTAGTTGTGAGAGAAACAGATATAGTCCTACCGTTGTTGCAAAATATATTGCCTATCCCATCGTAAAAATCACCTGAACCCAGATGATGTGATTTCTGCACGTCGGCTATCTTTTGGAGTGGGCTACCTTTCAGGATATTACAGTAACAAGGTGTAATTTACTTTAATCAGTAGCTTTCTTGATGAGCATGATCGCAGTTCAAAAAAAGAAAAACATTGCGTGATGAAGGAAAACTGTAACACCATGAAGAGTCTACTGCCCTTCATTTAGTGTCCTAGGATTTACCGATCACCCATTCTCGGAAAGAAGGTGCAACAATACCCAGTGTATAAATTAACATCAACTCTGCAGCAACTTGCTTAACAGTCAATGGGGCCTCCAGTGCCTATTTTCTCCCGACATTTATAGCACATTTATATATTGCTCTAGAGCACAAACATAAAAATAATAATTACGACAGTTTGCATGCACGCGAGACAAATACCAAAAACCAAAATCTCTGCTCCTTACAACGGCGAAGAACGCCACCAAAACATATGATAAAACTAAACTGACCTTCTCGAGGCTCTCCAAAAACCTGCTCTCGAAGTTCCCCCTGCAGGTGCTCTGAACGTGGTGCTCAATGTACTTGTAGGCCACAGTAGAAACCGCATCCCTCACCATTGCATCCAGCAGTTGCAGCTCGTGCCTGGCGTTAGCAACGGGAAGGTGGCCTGAGTGTACTTTGTGAAAGCTTCGTAAACCAACATGTATAAGTAGAAAAGGGCACAAAGCATAAAGTGAAGAAAAGAGGAAGGAAGAATTAGGGGGACGATGTCACAGCGCACAAGAAACGAAGACAAAGCAGAAGGGTGTACGCAGGAAGCATTTATCCTGTGTACACCGTTCTACTTTGTCTTCGTTTCTTGTGCGCTGTGTCGAATCCATTAAGGAAGGAAGAAGACTAGAATCGCCAAGCACGGATTTTATGGTGGCAAAACTGGATCACATTAAGTTTTCGTTTCACTAAAACACTAAAAGGGTAACATTTGGTTCAGTGCTACACACTGTTACACTGGTTTCACCTTATGATGAACCGCGGTGAATGCTACGAACCATCCCAGCCGATTCGGCGCCGTGGATGTATCGTGACTATGCGCCCCGTGCGTCACTGTGCTCCTACCCAATGGTCACATGACACTCCTACAGATTGGATTGGCTTGGTGGATCGTAACATCCACTATGGTCCATCGTAAAGTGAAAAAAAGCACAGCAAATCCTAATTGGTCCAACAGATAGGATAAAGAAGCATCACGTAACCCCAATAAAAGTCAGGCCTGGAATTGGATAATCTTACAATTTATGGCACTTTCATGCTTATTCATTTATTTATTTTTACATACTGTTGGCATGTGGGCCGTGGCAGGGAGGAACATACATTTAACAAAACAATGAGGTTCATACCCTCAATAAAGCAGTAAAAAATATCATCTTTACCATGTTAGATACAAAACGTGTCACGAACGCACATAAAAAGAAAAAAAAAAGGAGGACCTAATGCACGTAAAAAGAGAGTGATAATCAAATTAACAATAGCAATAAATTGACAACAATAATCGAAGGAATGTGCTGTGTACACTACAATACAACACACAATATATTGTAAAACCCTTAATGTTCGAGCCCTTAATTTTTGCAAACTTTGCGAATCTATAAATTCCCTAAATTTAAGGGCATGCGAAATTATCGGTTTTCAAGAGTTTCAATGCATGTGTCTGGAATTCAAGCAATTCAGTGGTCGCAAATATGTCCTCTGCGATTGATTCGTGAAAAATAGTGGCCGCGAAAATAAAGAGTTTTACAGTAAGCTTCAGAGAGGGAAAAGTAAGAAAATAACATCAAGGCAATATGCTCACAATGTAAACACAGTAAACAAGTCGAACAGCATCCTCAAACATAGAAATATGTGGGCCAAACAGCTGTTTGAACAATATAAAATTAACCATTTTATAAACACCATTTGTTTAATGAAAGAGGAAACACCTCCCCACCTCATCCATTTGCTAAAATCACTGCAAAAAAAAAAAAAAACTAAACAACTAACTATGCTCTAACTATGCTATTCTTTACTAACTTTCCAGCTTAAAGGAAAGCTGAAGAGGTTCCTGAAAAAAAAAACGAGTTAGAAGTTAATTCTAGAGTATTTTTATTCCGTGAATCTGAATATCACATTCATTTTCCCCGAAGATGTAACTAAATGCAAAAAAACACAAAAAGCCTCCGACCAGTCATTACGCCGTCCTAGGATTTTTCGGCCGCCAAGCGTGTGTCGCTCGTGTGGGCAGCGGGTGCAATTGCAAGCTTGCCAGGTATATTCCCTCGCACTGACACCAGTCATAAAGTATTTTTCTGACCTTTTTGAAAATAGCAAGAGTGTGCATGCGTAGCTTAGATAGGCGCTAAAGATGCGAAAGAGCGGAGATTTAAAAAAAAAACTTTGGATATGACGTCATGCTGCGGGAAAGAGAGGCTTCAGAGATACTTTGAAAATGATTTTCTGCAGCTTCCGTGCACCAAATTGAAAAATAATCTCGATATTTCTGATCCTGGAGGCCAAATAAAGATGATTTAAATGTTTTTTTCTCAAATACAGAACCGCTTCAGGTTCCCTTTAAAAATAGGTACTGCATTGTGCAAGACATGATTAGCATAGTTACTGCCAGATAGAAACATCAGATGAATGAGACATGTTGCCGTTAGAAGCCTTTCCCAGGCAGAAATTCTTCCTCTTGGCACTATTACCATATCATTTACATTATTACTACTACAAACTTTTTAGCAAGCTCTCAAACTAATTCAATAATGAGACAAATTTAAGCACAGAATAAAACAAGCTGGCCTTAAAGGGCCCCTGAAAAGAAAAAAACATTTTTTTAAACAGTCTAATTGGGACAAGCGTGTCAAAAAATTAATTTTACACGAAAAAATAAAATTTTTTTAGAGCAATATTGATGGCGAGAGATTTATTTGAAATTCTGCGCACAATGTCCATGACGTCATGAAATGGTCATTCACTCAACGAAACGGTAATTCGCTGTTCTCACCTCAACGTGAAGGCGAAGCCGATCCACCTCTCATCCACGTGCCCGAAATGCCAAGAGAAAAAACAAGTGGAAGGAGGTGACTACCAACTAAATCGTGTCTCGCACCGTCAATATTGCACTAAAAAATTTTTTCCGCATTAAATTTATTTTTTGACACGCGTGTCGAAAAATCTGCACCAATTGCTGACAAAGTTGGGGTTTTCAAGGACACCTCAAAATTTACTAAAAGATACACACAACATTAATGTTAAAGGCATAGTGCAACAATTTTAACGTTGAAAGAATTGGCAGTTTGCATTTTTTATATTGCTTATCCAAGCACAAGTGACCAAAAATGCGTCCCCTTGCCACCAAAAACTGCTATTCCTGGTATTCCGAATTATTTAGCCGATCTGCAGCCGCGTGTGGCAATTATGGAAACTACAAAGATAGCGTCACTGGGGGATACGCGGAAGTCAACAAAAACTTGTCCCCCTCCGCTGCCACACTCGCCGTCAGCTCCGTGGGGAGCCATCTTTTGTGTCGATCACTCGCCGCGATTTTCGACGATGCTTATCTTTTAAAAGTCGACAATTGTGGAGGAAGCAGCTGGGGTCTCTGAAGAGAGAACCCAAGGGAAACATAGTAGAACAGCGCAAATTTTTGCAAGGGCAGGGGAAGGAACTGGACAGGACGAGCACTGTGCAGGGCAGCGCTCGTCCTGTCCAGTTCTTTTTTCTGTCCTTGCAAAAATTTGCGCTGTTCCATTATGAATCCATACCAACCCGCCCAGTTATCCTGTTTACTAACCCAAGGGAAAACCATGTGATCCCCCAGAGTATGTCACTCGAAAGGCGACGTGGAGAGTTGAGAGGCACTTTGACCTTCGATTTGTTTCATTTTTTAAATAAAAACTGGTGCTCACAAGAAAATATGGTTTTCTGTTCTTTGTTCTATAGATGACACAGATTAATTTCCGCAGTTAATTGGCAAAAATCCGGAAATCGTTGCACCAGCCCTTTAACCCTAGCACATCCCCCAACTTTGTGGCAGAGTTGGGTAATATGACAGGTCAATGGAAAAAGTGAATGCTTTGTATTGGTCCTTCCGTTACTTTTGGGTAAAACTGGATGCGGGGGGCGACTTTTGAGGCAGAAAAAGAGGCGAGAGTCAGGACTCACAGTTTCATGTTCACATCATGGAAGCTTTCCAGCAAATAATCGCACTGGCAGCTGTCGAAGTCCAGTTCACAGCCGGCACACTGTGGAGACTCGTCTTCATCCTCGTCACCTGAGGAAAGTGGAAGTGCAAAGCAACCCCTGGTATGACAGTAGGCAGGAAGATGACACGAGCCTGTATGTTACGAGCATTCCCCCCAAAAAAAGAACATAAATAAAGTCCTCGATAACGTGCAATTAATATGGCTGCTAAATATTTTGGTGCGACAGTTACTGGGGGTAAAATTTGAAAATAAGCACTGAGCATGCACTGCTTTAAACTGAAGTCAAGAGACAGTTAAACGGAGTGCTGTGGTATCAGCAGTAGTTCATTTGGACAAAGCTAGTTTGGCTCAGATTCATTCCCTGTCATCCTATTGTCAAAAGAAAAGCCCCCACCTCCAGTACAGTATCAATCTAATGCTTCATCACAGATTGAATTTTTTTGGGGGGGAATTGCAGAAAAACAAAATATAGCTTTTTTTTTTTTAATTGATTTATGTTTACTATTTTAGAGGCTGCAGATCACAGCTGGATTGCCCCGCATACAACAAAATCATACAGACACAAGATTTTGAAGGCTGCAGCTCACCTGCTGCCTTGTGAAATGCTCGAAATGCAGCTGTGTAAAACTTGAGCAGGACTCTGTTGAACTGGCAAGGTATAGATGACAAAAGAAGTGCTCTCAGCAGGTCATGGATTGCCCTGCTCAGGGGCGCATCCATATACGAGGTCTTGTCGAAGTCTTGTCTTGCAGTCCTTGCGGCATGATCGGTCTCGGTGGACTCGATGAAAAGGGCGCTTGACTCGTATTCATGAATGGTGCAGTGGAGGTCAGTAACTGCCTTCACAAAGGCGTCCTAGAGAAAAGAATGATGCAAAACAAAATTGCAGATCCTGTTCATAAAACTTTCATCATGGTAAAACAACCTGATTCTATTGTTAGCATTATTTTGATTAATAACTGACCTGAGTTTCCCTTGGGCTTAAGTCGCTTGTAGACTCGAAGCAGCACCAAAAGTCAGGAATGATTTTTGCCCTGAGCTGTTTTTGAAATTCAAATCGGAACCAGGGCTTCAGGATGTGTACCAAGCCCATTTGACTTAACGACTCCATGACTGATTCAAACTTGTCCTGGTTGATGGTGTCACCTGCCTGAAAAAATGTTCAGGGATCAACACAGAAACAAAATTGTCTCGGAGCATTCTGAAATACTTTAGTTACACAGAATTTACCATGCCAACTGCCATGTGTTAAGCCTCTAGCTGTTGCTCCCTTTACTACGCTATTCGGCACATGATCGTCAATCTGGAAGACCGAACAGAGTTTGCACACCCTCTAAACAGCAGTTAAACATGATCTATACTCCGTTTCACCTTACGTCCAGACGAAGCTGACTTTAGCCAACCCCGTTCTGTGGGGTCATGTGACACTCACACGGCCTTGGATTCGCTTTGATGGATCGTAACATCCGCTGCACTCAGACGTAAGGTGAAACGGAGTATAGAGTGATATGCAGTGGTGGATGTAATAAAACCTTACCACTTAACCTTTGGCTAGACTCAGATCAGTTAATGATTGTTTCAGGAGATTTGAGAATAAATATGCACCAAAGAAGTTTTTGATATCATAAGGACTCAAACGCCACACATTATCCACATCCGTATTCCCTTCGATATATTATAATGTGTGATATAAAAGAAAATTAGTTACAAAGATGACACTAATTTTTTTCACTTCTTGCACGGCTGAAATGGCATCTCAACCACTGCTGAAGTGACACCTCTGGACACAAGAAGAGATTGCAATGGGTTCAAGATCTACCATCTTGCACCCGCTTCACTCCACCACATATTAATTATCTTTGCTCTATTTGTCAAAAATTTAAAGAACTACAAACTGAGGTCAGTCTTTCTCAGTCGTCTACACGTACAACGTTGTTACAACAAGCTTTTTTGCATAACACACAGCCGACGAAATTAGAGACATGTCTCTACAAAGCTGATGAAACACCAAACGTCTCAATGCAACACAATTATTTCAATGCAACACAACCGTTCTTATGTGAGGGGCTGCATTTAGAAAAACAAAAATATACCAGAACTATTTCATATTTGTTCAAAAATTTAGCCAGTCAGCCTGGAGATATGGAAAACCACCTTTGTGCTTTCTCGCTAGTGATCTGCAAGGACACAAACACAGCAATATCGTCCAATTTGCAATTTCGATTTCCAGGGCAAGATAATAATGCAATAGCAGAGCGATTTCTAAAGTTGGCTACAATCGAGGCCACCCCAACAGTCGACAATCTGTTCAGGGCTCATGGAGTTGTCAAAAGCAGAGTCTCTCGCTGCTTTGGGCAGCACCAATGATTGTCAGAAAAGTAGGAGTCGCGGCAGAACTTATGAACAAATTAAACAATAATCCACTCTTTCTAAACTTTCATTGCACCTTCAGTATCAAACCTGAATGAGTAAAGTTGGGATGCCCATTTGAGTCAGGAGGTAGCCAAATGTTGCTGGCAGCGTCTCTACCTCGCTAGCATGTCAACATGCGCAGGCATATTGTCGAAAGCTACACAGACTAACTGACCGTTGATCAACACACCCATCCAAATTGCAGCCTCGCTTGTGTTGCAGATCTTATTGCCAAAATCAGTCGGTTATTATTAGGGTTCTATGTTTTTGGTTTTTCTTTGTTTTCAAATTCAAGGGCGTTTTTTCTATGCTTATTTTTTCCCATAGATTCCATGCTTTTGGTGTTGATTTTCTCTGGTGGACAAAAATCTGTTTATCAGGGCTTACATGTTGAAGAAAACCGGACACAGGCATGGAAATCCCTAACCTCAAGGAAATATGTGCAACATGGAAAGCATCCCGGCAGCAATAAGGAAGGAAACAAAACAAAATGGTGCAGTTCCTAGTGAAAGAAGCAGCCTCACTTCTTTTGTGGGAGCTGTGTCGAGGTCAACATAAAACAAAACTGTAATTTCCTTTTTCTTTTAACCACTGAAATTTAGGTGTTTTTTTTTTTTTTTTTTATTATTATTTAAAGCCAGTTCTAATTCAGATTGTTTTTCTCTTTTTGTTTTTTCCGATTTCAATAAAACTGGTTTGGGTGGTCATTTTTCAGGGGGTTTGACGGTATTTACATTTTTCAGGGGGTTTGACGGTATTTACCGAAAACACGAAACCCCAGTTACCATTTGGACGGGTGCAGCGTGCAGTCCGGGGTTTGGAAGCATGGGCGTGTTTTCATGGGCCCCAATTTCATGGCGAACACTATGTTTGAACTTAGAGCTCACAGCCATTCTTTTTGGTGATATCATTTCAATGCAATGCACCCACTTCAGAGCAGCCAACAACACATTTTGCCACTTAAAGAAATGCTTTTAAAAGTTGTTTTTAGACAAGTAGCCTCTGATAGATTTTGACGTTTTGCATGGCTCCAATTCTGAACAAAAATGTAGACTCTAGCGTTTTTAACTTAGATGTGGATGCCATATGCTTAATATCAAATACCAAAATAATATTGATGTGCCTGCCGCTTTAGGCAGAACTTCCTAATTCTTAGCGGTATTAGGCACAGCCTTAGCCACAGGTCGGATTCAATGTTCAGCCTTTTCCAGCAGTTATTTTCGATGCTCCAACGACGGATAATGCTGATTTGCAAAGTGTAGAAAAAAAAGGCTCGATCGAGAAACTAGGGTGAAAACGAAGGGAAATTACATTCACAAGCCACTATGAAGAGGAATTCGAGTACACTCCGATTCCTGTTTAAAGACCCTTGCCATAGAGCAGTGGTTCTCAAGCATTGATGATTCGCAGACCCTTGTGAATCGGCAGATATGATGGAGGACCCTGTTCATTGTGAGGGGAAGGGAAAGTTATGGTTTAGTTACAAAAAACGATTTAATAAATGGATATAACTAAGGGCTAGTGTGGGGTAGACTTCTCTTAGTGACAAATACCCGAGGAAACTCACTCGAAAATCGTAACGTTTCTTCTCAATCTGAGACAACTTTTATTGCTGGACTTGACTGACGAGGCTGCGCTTCGCGGACCCCCATTTGAGAACCACTGTCATAGAGTACACACTGTTTAATGCCCTAAGTGCATAAAGCGCTGAGGAGCTCGAAGCCCTCATTATCTTCAGCCTTTCCCGGTAAGGCGAAAAGACTGCATTAGGGAGCAATTCAGTGTTCTGCTTAAGTTGAAAGAACGCACTGTTCGCTTTGTTTACCAAGTGTATTCCTTATCGAAGACGGCACGCCGGTCACCGTCATTCTAAAAACTGCCTTTTAAAAACGGGTTTTACGACACTTCCATATCAGCAGTTATTAATGCCCAACATGGCTAACAGGCATACTGCATACATGAAGCCAATTATACGGAATGCGTGCAAAAGCGTTCTGACGCACGGTGAACACACACCAAAGCTGGCGAGTAACCTTGGCGAGTTACCTTGTGGGGCAAAAGATGTTGTTCGATCACACGCCAATCGTCTCTCGAACATTTTGCGCTGCCCATTATGAGAACTACATGTCATACAACGTATTATTGAAAGAATGTAGGAAGTTCCACTCTGGGTTGCAGCGAAACCCTTCTAAACACAGCGGGCTGACATGTTTGGCCCAACTAATGGATGGACCAACGGTATCATACACCAGCCCCACCAGCCAGACACCAGCTAGAGTAATCGGCTAAATATTTTGAAACAGAAAGTAGGTTTTGCCGTCTAGTTTACAAGTCAAACATTTCAATCTTTCAAATTATGTTTTTTGTGCATTTATTTTTGTTTTTATTTATATTTATTATAAAAGTTGTGTTTTAGCTTTTAGCGATAAAAAAGTTGCATTTTAGTTGACGTGTCATTTTCATGCAGGCCACTTTGGTGCATTACGCATGCGCATTTGCTGTTCTTGTGTGGTTTTCAACGAAAAGTTGCGTTGGTGTGCGTTCGTCGGTTTTGTTCAACGCGTTCATCATATTTTGGCGTAGATTTGTTCTAATAACTCGCACAAGATGAGCAAGGCACATCCGCCGGAGCTGAAGAAGTAAGTATTCGCCTTACACTTTGAGACTTGTCTCTTGCGAAGTTTCCGTGTCTGATGGCATTGGCACCACCGGCTTCAACACGTTTCCACCTCCACTTTTTTTTTTCCCCGCTTTGTTGTCTGCCTTGTCGCAACTTCCACAGACGTCGTTCCCTTTCACAGCGATAATGGTTTGACCGTTTAGAGCAGGCCTCCTACGAAATTGCTTCGAAATCTTGGACTTCATTGTTCTTTGCAGCGCTCGCACTAATGTCAAATGGAAATCGTGCACGAGTTTCTAGTGGGAGCCCATTAAAGCGCAGGTGAGAAACACGGAGGGGTGCCAGCACTTACTGCCCACACAGGAGGGGAGAAGGGTTGAAGGGGAAGAGGCTCGACAAAAAAATATTAGGCAGATAATCAAGAGACTTTATCACAGCTGGAGTAGAAGGAGACAGTGGAGAGCACTGACAGCAGCAGGGTACAGTATGAGCACAGAAGTGTAACGATGGAGGCGACCACAAGGGAATGGGACCAGTCTAAGAGTAAGGTTCCAGCAGGTACAGTGACAGGTCCAGATGACATACCTGTTGAACTCGTAAAGACCCTAGGGGAAACGAGCAACTTGAAGTTACGACATGTGATTAAGCAAATAATTAATGGAGGAGACATGCCCAACGGTTGGAAACTAAGCAAAATAAGACTAATACATGAAGGCAAGGGAAACAAAGACAACATCAAGTCATACCGCCCAATAACAGTAACATCAATTTCTTACAAATTAGCTATGCAGATAGTAAAGTGAAGGTTGGAGGAATGGGCGGAAGGAATGCGAATTCTGGGAGAGCTTCAGATTTAATTCCAAGGAGACAGAAGGTTGTCGGGTAACCTATTCGTCATCATGCAATGTATAGAGATTGCAATGAAGATTTAAAGCCGCTTATGGTTAACATACTCTGACTCCACTCTGACTTGCACTTCGCGTTTTCTTATCTTCCCTTCTCCCCCCTTCTCCTCCTGGGTATAGTCGGCTGCTCGCTGTTGAAAGTTTACTCGTCTGTTGCTAGTTGAAAGATGTAGTTGTGCTGTCCCTGTTTTAATTGTTTTATTCTTTCTTAATACACGCTCTTCTACCAAGCATGGTTAACATATTTGGACATCAAGGTAGCATACGACAACAAGACCCCCAAAAAACTCTGGGACCAGCTGAAGAGATATAACATAGATGCAAATTTGATTGTTTCTTCAGCAGGTGTACACAGACAATAGGGTAGTTATAAAATCTGAACCAGAAACTACTCACCCAGCAGCAATAAAAAAAGGGCTCGGACAGGGCTGCCCACTATCACCCCTGCTTTTCATGAAATACCTAAATGAAGTGAAAAATAAATTAGAACAGAGCAATTTAGGTTTTAATGCGAGTTATATGGAAGGAAGGAGAAAGGTATCACAAGTAATCCCAGGATTAATGTACGCTGACGATATACATAAACTCATCTCTGTGACGTCACGGCGCGGTGGTGGCGCGTCGGTCGCACTTCCGGTCTGGGGCTGTGGGCAGAAGTCCCCATGCCAGACGTGTATTCCTGCGTTGTTTTGAAAGGAACCAGACAAAAACCTGCCTTCGCGTCAAAACGCCGCGACTGGGGCCGTACCGAAAGTGTCGAGAAAGGTTTGAAGGTCAGTTTTCAGGTGCTCGATTCGTCCGAGAATCTGGATATGTGCCGTAAAAAGGAAAAAGCAGACGCCTCCGGACAACGATTGCTTGGGCGGGAAGCACTTTGGGTTGAATTGACGGATACTTGTGGTCATCAGATTTATTTGTTTTGTTGCAACATGAACGCCAGAGAACCATCAAGTTGTGCAGACCACCTGCGGACTACGTTCATTGCGTCTTCAAGTTCAAACGGCCGCCTGATCGTTCGAACCGTCGTCTGCTCTTTCAAACGTTTCTGCTTGTCGTCTGCTCTCTTAGACGACGCCGGCCCGTTTATGTTGGCCCGGTACTTGCGATAAGAAGTAAGTGCAGGCCTCAAAAGACTTACGTTTGAAGGTTGGTAAGCAGGCTCGATGTAAACAGTAAATAAAAGATGTTGATCATTGTTACCAGTGACTATCACTGACTTGCTATGCCTAATTGACTTGGTCCGATTCTGCTTGCAATTTTCAGTATCGACGTCGACCATCTCAGCTACGGTTCACGCTTTTGCAGCCCGAGCGGCGTCGCGACTGAAAATTGCGAACGAAATCTCATCATGCGAATCAGGTTTTAGCGTTCATACTGCGGCGTCCACGCGGAATGAATCGCCACATGTCACATTATTCGCGCGAAGTTTCGCAGTGTTAACGAGCCTCGGTAATTTCGCTGACGCCGCTCAAGTAGTCGGACATCGCCAGGAAGACGTAAAATCAACAATTCTAACGCGAAAAAGAGCAGGGGGACTCACACCGACGCCGATAACATCGTGTCTCAATGGTTTGTCTATGGGCGACGGCGAGCTTTTTGCCCACACCCCTCTCGCGCATGCGCGGCGCCGGTGGCGTCCGCTAGGGGCGCTCCGGTTTGTTTGTAAACATGAGTTGGTGTATAGTACTCGTGGCAGATATTCGCAATGCATTAAGGCAAGTAAGTGAAATATGTGGAGAGGAAAAGGACAGCTTGGGCCCGAGTTCTAGTTGTGAGAGATGTGGAGTAATGGTGTTCAACAATGAAAAGAGGGAACAGCTGAAAATACAAAACAGTGAAATAGACTATGTAGAAAAATACAAATATCTGGGAGTGGTTCAATAAGGGAAAGAAATACCCAGAGGAACATGAAGTAAATATTAGAATAGTGAAAACAAATTTGGGTATTTTGATACTTAAGGCATTATGTAATTATAATAGATATAAAGTGGTCAGGGGTATATGGAAAGGGCTAATAGTGCCAGGACTGTCTTTTGGCAATGGGGTACTGTGTATGAGATCAGAGGTTCAATCAGGATTGGAAATTCAACAAGGGAGCGTGGGCAGGCTAGCTCTGGGAGTGCACGGGAACACACCAAATGGGGGAGTACAGAAGATGTGGGCTGGTCCCCCTTTGAGAGCAGAGAGGCAATTAGTAAATTGAAATTTGAAGAAAGGTTAATTGAAATGAATGATGCTCAGTGTGCACGAAAAGTATTAAATTATCTTTACATGAAAAGTTTAAGCACAAAATGGACAAACCAAACCTGCAAGCTGACAAACACACTAGATATAAGGCTGAGCAGACTCCTTCAGTAAAAAAAGCGAGTGAAAGGTACAGTTAAATGTGGGAGGAAAGAATGCAAGAAAAATCAGCTTTAACAATGTATAGGTCCCAAAAATAGGACATAGGAAAATAAAAGGTGTTTGATAATTCACGTTGGAATTCTTTGCTGTTCGAGGCCAGAACGGGAATGCTAAAGGGGTATGGAAATGAAAATTGAAATATTCAAATTTCGTTCGGGAATGAGTCAAGCACGGCGGATAATAACCGTAAATGATAATCGCCCACTTGTATTTTGACTGGCTACATTTTTCGTTCCAAACGGTGCATTCGAGCAAGCGCTCGAAGAGAAGTGAATGGAGAGCACGATGTGTCTTGGGATATCCAGTGCAGACAAAAACAGAAAAAAAAGATTCCCCGCATTTGTGACGTAGCGAGGCTGGCGTTGTTATGAGCTTTGCCGTTGGTGGCGTTGTCAGCGTTGTGGTGTCTATAGCGTCAACGTGTTACAACCAAGCCGTTCGAAGTACCCGTGGGGTGACGAGCGTGTGTCTGGTTCAAGGAGCACGTAGCTGCCACAGCACTGTCAGCTCAGGAATGAACGGGGTGGGAAAAGCAACTGCTATGTCCGGGTACACAAACGAGAGTTTGGTACAATGCGTGATTTGTGATTTGAGGAAAGCTATGAAGGGGGAAAATGTTGAATTCCAAAGAGTGGCGCTGCTCCAATGGAACTTGCTACGTCATGACTACGTAGCATGTTTCCCAACGTTGCTAGATTACCTTCCAAATAGACTCCACATGCATCCACCAGGTGCACATTGAAAGATTGTTTAATTAGCTTTGAAATTAGTTTTCTTGTGCCTTTCAATGAAAGACTGGTGTCTTTGAGGTTAGGTTGCAATATGCAACACATTGAAGCTAAAAAATGAGTGCTGGAATTTTGTTTCCGTACCCCACTTAAAGGGACACTGACAGGGTATTTATGCTCACCAAGTTTTTTTATTTGTAAATGACATTTGAGATCCCAACTACCCAGAACACAGTTTGCAGCTTGAAATTTGTTTTCTTTCTGCCCAAAAATCCGTCAATCGAGAACTGGCCGTTTTCTATGGTTTAGACATAACCACCAAAAATAATGAGAGTCATAGGTCATCGAAGGCACACACAATATTAAAAATACCTATTTTTGTAGCTTCTAAAAAGCTGCAAATGCGTTGATTGAAAATAGAAAGTTGCACAGCCATGTGACTTCCGGCAGCACTCTTCTCTTCTATATTTCTCCTTCCACAGTTTCGGTTTAGAGCAGTTGCGTTTATTTAATATATTAAAAAAATCTGTGACGCTGTAGCAAAATTTTTATGAGTAGTCTTCTAACACCATAATGAATTGCCTAATAAAATAAATTTTGTGGGGTGTCAGTGTCCCTGTAAGAACAAAGACGTGTACATGTTTGCAAGTCCGGCTTCAGGGCGCTGCCATCTTGCTTGGCTGGGGTGCGCTTGGACAAGCTGTAACCCGATTACGAAGCCTTGCTAAGGCATCATAATCGGATTGTGGCCATGCTCAAGAGCGCACCCCACTGAGGAAGATTGCGGCGCCCTGAGACCGGACTTGCAAACGTGTGAAGGGTAAATTTCAAGTGGTAGGCACATTATGTGCCGTGTGCCAAAGTGAGAGAGAGACATTAAAACATTTAATTTTAAAATGTAAGGGGCTTTGCTTTGCTCTCCCTGAAGAGGTACCTGATCTGGCGGGGGCACTGGGTTTTGCTGGCGAGGGTGGAAGAATGGAGGAGAGGTTTACGATCACAAAGGAGCAAGTTAGAAGATTGGTGAAAATTGCTTAAAGCGCTAACCGCGGCTAAAGTTAGCCGCAGTACCTAGGAGAGGGATTTTGAAATCATGTGACTGGGCTCGACAGGGTTGCGGGGAAACATGGCGGTGCCCCGGTGAGTGAGCGCTGCTCGCTTTGGAACTAATATGTCGGTGCAGCTCCAATATCGGGTGCATTAGTCAGCAACGAATGGTGCAGGAGTCTTTCGCTTTGCCTTACCTCACTTAAATCGCAAAGCATGAGCAATGACCTTGCCGCATTTTTTAGATAGTCTTTCGATTCTGGCCAGTCCTTAGCCTAAATGAACGCGATAATTGTCGGCATGGCAACGTCTTTGGGAAGTGGATTGCGGCGACTCAGTCGGCCGGGTATTGATAGCACACAAAAGCAAACAGCGTCCCAATAGACCTTTTTCTAAATTTCCCAAGCACCGAGGTGCATGCTACAAGTGTCGTTACACGCATTGCACATGCTGGCGTCTGCACAAGTAATTGTTTTAAAGCAAAAAGTCTAAAACAAATTGTGCCTTGAATGTGCGTTTGTCAAAGCTTTATTATGATTATTTACTTTGAATCTTTTATAAGAGGAAGGCCAGCGCACGTGGACCGTAGAATTACACTTCAAGCGTTCTCCTTGATGTTTGGGTAATTTAGAAAAAGGTCTATTGAGACGCTGTCTGTTTTTGTGTGCTATCAATACCCGGCCCACTGAGTCGAGGCAATTCGCTTTCCAAAAACGTTGCCATGCCGACAATTATCGCATTCATTTAGGCTTAGGAATGGCCAAGATCAAAAGACGAAAAATACGGTGAGGTCATTGCTCATGCTTTGCGATTTAAGGGAGGTAAGGCAAGGCGAAAGCCTCCTGCACCATTCGTTGCTGACTAACGCGCCCGATATAGCAACTACAACGACATATTATTTTCCAAAAGCGAGTGGTGCTCACTCACCGAGCCACCGCCATGTTTCCCCGCATCCCTACCGAGCCAGTCACGTGATCTCAAAATCCCTTTCCTAGGTACTGCGGTTAACTTTAGCGGCGGTTAGCGCTCGAGCGAACAAGCCCTGGGGACAGTCGGGTCAGAGGAGAGTTGGGACTCCCTATTGCGTGGCTGTGGCCCAAAGTCTCAACCCTGTTTCCCAGTGGGCCCGATGTTGGGGTAGCACCAAATCGGTTTGGCTTGAGGAAAATAGGCAACTCCCTCGCTGGAGGGAGAAAGCCGGGGGTGACGGTTTTGTTTTTTCTGCCCGACCCCCAAAGGTCGTCCTGGCAATATCCCACGCTGCCTGGTGATAAGTGATAGTTACAAAAATGCAGAGGGGAAGCGAATTAACTTAGAAGGGCAAGGAGACGAATAATAGTTTTGGTTTCTAGGCTAGGTAGCGCAAGCTACCACTCGTTATAAAAGGGTACAGCCATTAGCATCCATCCATCCATCTGAGAGCATGTTTCTGAAAAGTATGAGCCGAGTTGCAATGTGTTGTCCTTTTTTTTTCCAGGTACATGGACAAGAAATTGTCCCGTAAGTCGCAAAAATCTTACTACGAATTGACTTCAAAACTCGGTCGTTTTACTCAAAACTTAATGTTGTCTCAGTTAAAGTAGAAGCAACACGTTAAATCAGTGCTGGGAGATTTTGGTCGGTGACAAACTTACACTTCTTACTCCGAGTTGTGAAATTTGCTTGTGTCAATGGCTACTAGTTTGTATTCAGGCCATTACAGTCCTTAACAGTATCCTTTCCATGAAGTACTGTAGTATTTAGAACAGGTAGTTCCGAAAGAATTGGCAGGAGACTGAACTAGTTGTTAAAGTAGCTCAGCCTCTTATAAAAATTCTGCCTGGGCCCCTAAACTCTTGAAACACAAAGTTGGGGCCGAAGTTGACGGAGCGCACCGATTGGCCTATCCGTACAACGACTTCACACTTTTTTTGCCGACGTCCAATCGGCGCACTCCGCAAACTTTTGGCTCCAACTTTGTGTTTGATGAGTTCAGGGCCCCTGGCCTAGATTTGTTTCGTCTATTCTTGAATCCCATTTATTTTCCATGCCGATAGCATATGCTAGGTTAAATGCTTTTGTCATTAATTTATTTCTGTCCCCACCGTAGCATCCTTCTTGAGCTGCTTTGGATTAAGTTGAGGTATTGGTCGTGCCAAGTTAAATGCTTCTTTCATTAAACTACTATGTCGATCACTGTCACATCTTTCTCTAGATGTCTTTGATTAAATGCAGTTCTTGTTTCTGACTTTGTCTTCTGTAGTGCGCCTGAATGGAAGCCGAGTGATTACCGGCATCTTGCGGGGCTTCGATCCCTTCATGAACCTTGTCCTCGACGAAACTGTGGAGGAAACAAAGGGTGGGGAGAAGCACGACATCGGAATGGTGGTAAGAGCTGGCACTGTTTAACCTAATGTTTGGGCCAGTACTGATGCACTGGAGACCGATTCATTTGCTTGTTTTCCAGGTTGTCAGGGGCAACAGCATTGTTCTTCTGGAGAGTCAAGACAGAATACTATGAGCAAAAGACGAAGCCTCGCCAGTCATGATTTCCACCATTGCCATTCCCTCACTTGCTTTTCGTTCTGGGCTCATGCTGAAATAAAACATCAACATTGAAGATATGCCTATCTGCATAATTCTCAAGTTTATCTATATTATGTTTCTCAGTTAAGGGAGGAGGTGGGGAATAAATATGAACTTTCTTATTTCTAGAGATATCTGAACGAAATTTACAGGGTGTGTTTATAGCACAGACATAAGAGTAACTGCAAAGTTTCATGGAGCTGTGCATATTATTTCTCAAGTTACAAATATTTATCAAAATCGTCCATATGCATTCCTTATCCCAGGTCTGGAGAATTTGAAAAAGGTAGTAGCGGCGTAAAATTTGTTATGATTACCCCTGGATACATTCCTCAGGGCATAACAGAGCCCTTTTATTAAATTTCTTTGTTGAAAAATTTTAACGCAACTTTGAATTTTTGTGTAGTCATGAAACCCACATTCACCAAATTTAATTTTTTTATTATAAATTTTTAGCGCAGTTTTCTAAAAAAAGGGCTCTGTTATGCCCTCACAAAGTTATTAGAGAACAGAATAAAAAAGACAGCACAAAAATCCATTCATCAGTTCCTGAGATATCGCTGGGACAAGCAGCCACGACAGTGAAAAAATCCATTCTGAGAAAACAGCACTTGAAAGTTGCACCCAGATTTTCAGCTTTAGAATGACCCTGCAGAATAGTCAGAAGTGTTCTTGTGCACTTTCTTCTTGTTCCGCCTTTCCAAATTCTCTTGATGTCGTTTGCTGGCCTTGTGCAGACGTAGGGCATCTTTCCCGGCAGCTCGTTGGAGGGCTAGATGGGTCGGCTGAAGTCCCACTGCAACCGATATTTCTGCAGTTGCCTTGTAGCAGCCGGCGTTGAACCTAAACACCGCTTCATGCAGTGCAATTTGCTGGCATAGCTCCAAGTTCGGCTTGAGCAATATCACAATGTCTAGCTTCTGCTTCGATCTCCTCACGTGTCAGGAAATGCGTCCGCAGATGGGTGCTAGAAGACGCGCTCCTACTTGTCGCGGCAGGCGGAAGACGGGCGCTGGGACCCGCGATCTCGGGAGGAACCACAACGGTCGGCATGCTCGGCACTCCAGGCGTGAGCGGGGCGATGCGTTCTTCCTCGACGACAGCCGATGGCACAGAAAATCCATCACTGGAGGTGTTGACGCGATCATCATTGACGGCACGCCGTGCAGAAACTTCCTAGTTCGCCATCCGCACTAACTTCATGGACCGCTTCCGCGCGCCAAACGCGCGCACCGTCTTGTACTTCGAACCCCGCATCGTGTGCGACCACGAAACAGACGGGCACGCTACACGAAACTACTCAAAGAAAGTTCGGAAAACGATCGTAAAGATGGCGAAAAACGAAGTGGAACTGACTAAAAGAGCGCGTGCAAGCAGACCACTACCAAAAGCAGACGACGCGAGCGGCAACAGCAGGAGAAACGGAGGAGGAGAGCGCTCCGCGCGCGGAGAAATCGCGTCCCAGCCAATAGCAGTCGCGCGCTCCCCCGCACGCTCCTCGAGCGCGCGCTCTGTCCAATCGCGTTCTTGCGATTGCGACATGGAAGAACGGCGACAGTGCCGTAACCACGCGGCCGACGCCATTTTGGGAGCTGGCAAAAAAAAGAGAAAGAATTCACGTTCAAAACAAGACTAAGATGGCGGCCGTCGGTCCAACGCTTTGAAAATGGCGAGCGCGCGAAGTTGGGGTTGATTTTGACGTTTGACCGTCACTTGGATGCTATTCAGGCCTCGTAAATAATTGTTTTTAAATATTTCCCCATTGTATTTGGTGCTGATAATTACAGAGAAGGTAGTTTATGAGATATACAACCGAAAAATAAGGTTTTCTAAAAATCGACTTTTTCGCGATTTTCCGGTTTTCAAAGCCCGCGTCCCCCCTTAACAAGGTAAAATGAATGAAAAGGTGAAGAAATGGGCATCTAAGAAGTTGTGAAGATATGAAGCTCGGCAGTCATCTTTCCGTAATAGTATGTTGATGTTGCTGCAGTGGGGTGACCTTTAGCCAGTACAGTGGACGAAATCACCAGGCTGCCATGTTGCAGGTTGTCATTGATCGATTCCACCGAGAGCACGAGGCCTGCACGAGACCTGCACACAAAGTCATCACCAGCGACCTGCCCCAAGCAATAAACGCGCCGAAGCTCAACGGGAGTATGTTGCAAAAGGCAGACGTGTCTGCCTCAACACTACTGTCTGCTGGCGTTGCACTCGTGAGGTACTGCAAGACGTGTTGGCGGTGATGACACCAGCTAGTCTGCACTGTGTGGATCCACTAGTCGTGTTAGGGGGTCCTTGTCTTCTAGGTAGTTTACATGGATGGGTGTGGTGCATAATTTACCTGGTTGTCACGGATCAGGACTAAATACAATGCATGCTTCATACTGGTGAGATGAAGGCTTTGTGACCAGAGTGCTCGAGTTTGATGCCTCCTAAACTTTCCTGCGTCTGTTTCATATGGTCAGAATCTTCCACCCTTGGCATGTGGAGATACCTTCTCGGTACCCACTTCAGTACTATTTTCCCGAATTGCTGGTTCAGGAGGTTTTAGTATGTTCATGATGAAAAACGGAGCAAAACGCAAGGACACGGGAGAGAATTGCACACAGGACAAGGTGCCGATTATCAACTTTGTTATTTAAAAAAAAAATGCGGGTATAAGGTCTTTTTTTTTTTATCGCTGTGGGGTCTATTCTTTTTCGTTCCTTAGAAGTTACCCAAAGTCCAAAAAAGCCATCTCACTGTTTCTGAGGTTCACTGGTGGTTGGCGCACGCACATTTTCTTGTTATTTTCCTCTATATACAAAGGAGGACGATAGGGCAAAAAGCTGCATGGCTTGCAGCTACAAGGCCCTACCCAATGTGGCAGAAAGGTACCAGAAACTTTTGGACAACACAAGCAAAAAACTGAATACTAGACCTTACTACATTGATTAGCTACAAAAAGTCATTATCATTCTGTTTCCAATATAACATCACGTAGCATACATACCCTTTGATTTTTTAGTAATCAATATTTTCACCTTCGTGCTTATTTAAAATGACGGTAGTGTATATTTTAAAGATGTTAATCCATAATCAGTACGGAGAGTAGTAACGCACCAGTTCTCACTACCTATGTTTAGTTTCATATGTCTAGTTTGTTCTTACCAAGCCCAACAGTACGGAAAGAAAAAAGTTATATTGTTTTACTGCCATATTGTAGAGTTCCCATCAAATGAGAGTTGTATAAATGCAACTTCATGTAGTAGTGTTTTTAAGTTTTATTTCGTTGTCTTACCCCAAACCAGGTGACAGTACACATAATGTGTGTAGATCAGAGAATAATACAACAGCAACCTCACTCTCGCGGAAAACATAAAACGAGTTGTAGATATTATTCCTCTCGCTTTGCAAACTTTTCGATGGATATACTCAACATGTTCAGTCCAAAAAGGTGATTCAGTAAGAATGACTCCAAGTATTTTATATTGGATTTTGCAATCTCTAAAAAAGATTAATTCATTGTGATATTTAAAGTTATCGAGGTTTTGAGGTTCCATGGCCTTAACAGTATGCATTTAATTTTGTCAATGTTCATTTTTAGTCCATTAACTTGTGTCCATAAATATAGGTTTTTGAAAACAACTGCCGCCATACTTTCGATCTCGGAAGTTGTTTGGCCTGTAATAAAAATAGTGGTATTGTCTGCATATGAAATAAACCTAACATTTGGTGCGCGTTGTTCAATATCATTTATAAATATTATTAACAACAGCGGCCCAAGCACACTCGCCTGGGGGCTCCAGTCACAATTCTTTTGGTTGCTGTATGATAATTCCTTTATGGCAGTTCCTCAGATACCATAGTGCTCTAACCTTTTTAATACTAGTATGTTATGATTAATTAAGTCAAAGGCCTCAGAAAAGTCTACACACCTAGAATAACCTCTTTATTGATAGATTTTAATATTTCTTTTTGCATTAGCAGCACTGTTTCAGTTGAACGCTTGTTCCGAAAACCAGTCAGAATATGTGTTGTTTTTCTAGATAACAAGAAAGTCTGTGGTGCATTATTTTTTCGAGAGACCTCCCTCCGATTCACGGAAGAAGGCCTAAACCTTCTTCCGTGAATGACCTTAGCACGTCGTCAATTGTTCTACTGAATTCTGTCTTTGCCATGAACACCAAATAGTCGTCTACATACCTGAATATTTGTTTAGTACTACCTACCAATCTATGTTCAAGTGCCCTGTCGACTTTTCCCACATAAATATTACTAAGCATAGGTGTTACCCTTGAACCTATGCAAAAGCCTGACTTCTGTACATAAACATTGTCCTGCCAGCCTATAAATATGGATTTTAGATAAAAGTACAAAAGTTCAAAGAAATCTGCTGGGATTCCGCTATTTGTCCTGAACCTTGTTTCATCATTGTGGTCTAAAATACATTCCTTCACGCTCCTCGTGAGTTCATCATGGGGCATAGAATATTATAACTCTTCAACATCTCTACCGAACGCACTGCATCCTACTGGGTATTCAATTACTGATGTTGAGTTAGGATTGCAAAATGGATCGTCTATCTGTAGTGAGTTAAGGTGTTTTTGTAGATATGTCGAAACTGCCTGAAGTATCTCTGATAATTTTTTTTTTTTCGTCTCGCGACGAATCGCGTTTTTGCTAGCATCGCAGAGGCTGGCGGCAGTGTGCTAAAGACACGTGTTTTACTCATTCATCGTCATTTACCAAAAACATTTTTCAAAACCCAGTGAGACTTGGTGAGACTTGCCATTGAGAACATAAGCAAATTTTTACGAAAACGCAATGCTACAAGAAAAAGCCACAACTCCTTGAAAACAAGTTTCGCCGGTCTCTCGGCGTGATCGGAGCTTCCTTGACACGCTGAGGTGGTGTGTGTCTGTTCCTTCGTACGCCTGGATACCGATCAAGAATTGATGCTGTGTGGATGTGTTTTGTGAGTGCAGTGTTCGATACTCTGCTCCGCTTGCGCAGCAGAGTTTCGCAATAGTGCCCCCAGTGCGGCCATGTTGA